AGCTCTTTTTTGACCTTTCTAATCTTCATGTGTACAAATGTCATCTTGGGTCACTATAGTTAATCCCGGAAGTTGTCTTTTAAGCTCAGTTTTTTTTCTTAGAAAAAGGCTTTTTCTTGTTCTAAGTGCATCGTATTAAGTCCTAGTCCCCTACTGTACCTTAGGAGAAACGGCACTTCGCTATTTTAGCATTTAACAATCAGTAAATCCTATATAAATTATCAATAAAGTTTATAAAAAAGTTTATGGTCCAAATTCAGAATAAATACTTTCAAATGGAAGAAATAAAATTAACAAAATGTCCAGATTTATTATTCGAATTTTTTGATTGATTCAATCAGATCAAATTATAGAGGCAGGAGTATGGAAAGCAGCAAATAAAAATTCGCAAAAAAAAAAAACTCATCAGAATGGTCAAGGAGAGATTTACTGACATCATAACAGACATATTCGTTTCAATAAATTATTAAGCTTAATTGGACACACAAAAAGGCACGGCAACTAAAATATCCGTAGGGCAAATCATGCAACTTGCAGTCATCTGCAATAAACATACTTAATTCATCAAAATATACTCTATTATAACAACTCTAGCGATGACAAACAAACAGCACATCAATACACTGTACAGAAAAAATAGTAATCGATCGTTTGGTCAACTTAGGAATTTCAAATCCGTTCAGCTTCTAATCGTATCCATTGTTGGGGCAGAGTCCATTTGTTCAACGAAGTCAGTCGTATTTCAATCTAAAAAGGAATCCAAGGAGACTTTCACAAAGTGTTCCAAAAAACCATGTTTTCGCAAAATTACCTGTCCTAAAACAGGTTTCGCAGAAAATGCTCCGTAATTTGTGTCGTCCTTCACAGATATTTGCAATTTATAATTCAGCAAATCATTTGCTTCCACATCAAACTCAAAGCTGGAACTTGTAAAAAAATAGCTGCAAATTAGTGAAAGCGGAGCAAAATTTGGTTGTTCACTTACTGGTTATCAAAGGATGGATTGACTGATCCTTTAACAACACCAGTCTTCCGTTTTTGTACGTCTCTACTATTCTCGATGGATATGAGTTTGACCTGAAACACTTACTCCGAATTTCTTTATTTTTTAAAAAAATTGTTAAGAAGGGATGGCCAAAAAAGGATGCAATGATTGTTAAAGCTATATTTAGATTAAGTTCGAAAAGCACTACTTCCAGGGAAAAATAGTCACAGCTGGGATGAGATGTGGGAAGAGGAAGAGAATGGGAGAAATTCTGAAGATGGTCTGAAAGGAGGGGGAGAGGGGATTGGTGGGAGTATAGGTAAACAAAGAGCAGGAAACTGTGTTTTACTTCTTACCCCTATCTACAAATAGAAATTCTCAATGTTCAAGCGGGAACCAGTAGACACTGATAAATTGACTGGCTGTTAAAGGGCGAAGGGGGCTGGGATGTGGAAGGAGGACACAAAAAAAACATCAGCTAAAATTAAGCAGAGTCAAACGAGAGATGGATGGGAAGGAGGGAGGGCAAGGTATTTGAGACTCTAGTGAAAAATGGTAATCTAAGCAAGTTTATTAAGATTACAGTAGTAATCTATGGCCGATTAGGGGAAAGTCATATTTGTGCAAAAAAGTGGAAATTGATTATTGCTCTTTATTTTAACTTTTACTTACTATATCGAGTATGAGAATTCAATTAATGAAGAACGAAGAGCTTACGGTAGCATAAGGATTGCACTGTCCATTTTTATCCCATGGAAGGAGTTGTCTTGCTCGAAGCACTTGGACAACCAGCTTTCTAGTCGCATCAGCATATCTTATGGACATTTCCAACTCGCCTCGAGGTTGATTTCCTCTGGAAATATCGATATAAGGTTTCTATAGGCTTTCATTTAGCATAAATTACCGTTGCAATGCTTGCCTGCTTTTAGCCGTCTTTTCATGCCTTGCGGTGAATACGCGTCCAAGTCGGCTAGATCGTCCAGCAGCGGTGTTGATCGAGTTTGTGGATTCCGAGCGGAGCATCTGGAAAGCGTCAATGATTGAACTTGAAGAAATTGAGAGCAGATACTTGAGCTTCAATAACATTGGAAAGTTAGATAAAAAGCGATTCTGATAATTCCTGCGACCCTGATTTAAGACAAATCCATTTTTGAATTAGGCATTTAAATACAATTAAGGATTTATATGACGGGATTGGGATACAACTTAAGGACATTCTGATTTTTGCATAAAGCGTAAAATAAAAATTTGCAAAGCCGCTAATTCCGGTTTCTGCAAAAAATCAATAGTCGATTAGTAACTTTACCAATCCTAAAGTCTTCAAAATTCCTATTGTCAGACTATTACCCATTACAATTCTGAAAACATACCGTAATATCCTCAGCATTGAGTCTGTTCTCAGGATCCAATAAGCCGGGCGATGGATTCACAGTTTTAGATGGCTCTACAGCCATTGAATCACCATTTGCCTGTTTCTTGGGAGTCTCTGGGATTGGTGGTTTAGGCTTATCTGCGCGTTCGATATGTCTCGCTGAAGATATACACAATTAGATAAACAACTTTTCCAAAAATAGAAAATTGTGATATTAGTTTCGAAGAATTTAAATATGCTATATTGACTTCAAGTT